CCAGCTTATATTGAAATTTGAAACACAACTTTGCTTTTAAAAGAGAGAGAGAGAGAGAGAGAGAGAGAGAGAGAGAGAGAGAGAGAGAGAGAGAGAGAGAGAGAGAGGGGGGTGCAGGACCGCACAACCAAATGGAGTAGATCCCTCTGCTGTACAGGATTAACCAGGACATAGAAGATTCAGAGTTTGGTCCCACAGAATTGGGGTGGTCCATTCCATCCAAAAACAAGTCCCCCTGTGGGAGAATCATGATCAGAGAGTATACTATACTATACGGTCAAATTGAATAGAGGTTACAGATTGTGCGATAATTTTGAAGACTCGGCTCCAGTCATAGCACAGAGGGGGATTAAGGATATGCAGACCCTGTTATTATGGGGCTACTTTGATTCCATTCCACCTCAGAAAGTGTGAGGACTACAGTGGCTAATGCTTGATCAGACTGCCCCTGTCAACCAGTGGTGACTCGATGGCAAACGAAAAGTGAGCCTTTGTCCAGAGGACTCTTTTTTTTTTTTTTTTTTTTTGTCGGTCCAGAGGACTCTGCTTCATGTAGGATGCATGATCTGAGAATAAAGGAGTAGAATCTACAGATTCTACACTATATTCTTCTCTGAAATTCTTTTCACCTTTCACTACCTACCCACTGCTACTCCCAAGGCCAAAATGGAGGGGACCCCTGCAAGCGGCGTATCTACCACTTACGGTGAACTTCAAGGAGATGTTGCATGTTGCCCCTTGCCCATGTCTTTACGGTGCAGGGTTGGGGCCTCCAGCGGAAGTCTGGCGAAACGCAGGGGGCCAAGCATTTTGCCAGTATCTGTGTCTCCCTTTTCTCTTTCCCCAACCCCCATAGAGTAGTAGCCATGTCTAAAACATGAGGACAGATTCTGGCAAATAGTTATTGCGGTCTGGGGAAATATTTTCGGCGCAACAATTCCCCCGTGATTCTGTCTTCGTTCTTACAGATCAGGATTGTGTGGACCAGATTCTGCCAGAACATTCGGCCATTAATAGATCTGGCATGGGGCGGTTCCCAGCACGTGCTGCTCCCCACAAATAGATCGGAGCTTTATTTTTATTTTTTTTTCTTTTTTCTTTTTTGAAGGCATGCAGATCCAAGCTGTGGGTCAACTGGAAGGCTCGCTGCAGTCAGACTGTCAGAAGAAAAAAAACTTCAAAAAAGGAAATATCATCTCAAGAAATGTGGACCCGAATTTTGGCTTCAGGTTGAAACGGGAGTGCGTGCCCAATGAAAAGACAATGTTACACACAAATTGGAAGCACACACAGATGACCATAAAAGACAAACCTAAGCCTTGCAGATATCTTTCGCTGACACCTGGTTATGTTGGGGAAGCTTAGCAGAGATCAAAGGAAGGACTCTTCTCTCACAAGTGGATAACAGGGACCCCCACTGTTCAGTACCAAAAACCCTAAACACTCCCAACACTGAAAAGCGCATTTGGGGATTTTTTTTTTCTTTTTCCCCGCCCTGTTTTATTTTTGATCAAGGTCTGCGTGTGCCAAGTTTGGTACTGTTAGCAGTGCTAGGGTTTTTGGTCAAGTTTTTTTCTTTTTTTTTTTCGACCCTGAATTATAGTGTGTGCCGAATTTGCCGAGCCTGTGTCCCACGGTACCTTTCGCTTATGTTTTTTTTTTTTTTGTCTGTTTGGACTCGGAACGTTTTCACTTGTGGCGTAGTCGGCCTCCGGTATGGTCCAACGAACGGACACACGTTACGGCGAGGTCCCTGTGGCTGGTGGCATTGTGCGAGGCCGACGATTGCCATCGCCAGCGGCGCGTCCTGACATCCTATTCTGTGTGTGTGTGTGTGTGTGTGTGTGTGTGTGTGTGTGTGTG